TAAATAAGTGTATAAATATTTTGCACGTGACAATTTTATATGATGATAATGATAATAATCATTTATCCAAAATTTTTTATAAAGTTTATGTATTTTATATTTCTTTTTTGTTTTTTATTATTAATCAGATGTAGATTGTGAAATCCAAATCTGATTACATAAACACCTCATCCAAATATGTGATAATCGGATTGAATTGTAAGGTTTTAAGTATCGTTGACAGACCTACATACTTAGCTAGACTCTTCTATTTGTAATGTTTTATCTGTTTTCTTTTGTCCATTTATAAAAAAAATGTAAGATTTAAATAGAGAGAATTGAATGAGGTGGAAAGTAGTGGTTTAATTTACAATTTAAACTTTATAATTAAATAGGGACTAAATTCAAGTATTTTAGTCAAAAGAAAGATCGAAAATCTTATTCATATTTTTAATAGTAGTATAAATATATAATTATAGGTGTGCTCAATTTTTTCTATAACTTTTTTGTATTTTTGTGTGTAAAAATAGTTTTGATATGTCACACTTATATTTTGTTTAATATGATAAATATATGATATTATGCATGTGTTTGAATGCTTTTTGTTGCAAAACTTATGTATTTTTTAATTTTTATATTTTATTATTTATTGACGACATTAAAGGTTAGTAATAATTTATTCAAATAAAGTCCAAGTAATAATTTACTCTTAAATTGTTGTTAATTATTTACTACTAAATTAATTATTGTTAATTTAATGTCTCTAATTTGATAAGATTCTTGAAGTAATTTATTTCAAGGCTTATAAAATTTATTTTTTAACTAATAGATTTTTTAATATCTAAAGTGTCATTTTCAGACTTTAGGGTTTTAAATGGTTTTTTTTTTAAAATTTTAACAGTACCACATAAATATGTTTTTACTATTTTATTCATTACCTAATGGGTTTATTGATGATGCCTCTAACATTGTCTGCTTTTACCTTACAATGACCTTTCACGTTCTTTAGAGTCTAAACTGAATTTCATATAAATTCAAAGATTGTCAGAGCCAAAAATTCCTTATAAAATTATAAATAAAATAGTTTTTTTTTCTTTCTTTATTGTAAACAACGTTAACAAAGCAATACAAGGAGCAATCCATACATCATCTATCGCTCTGCTTCAAAGCCCAATAGGGGAGGGACTATGGGGCCCCTGGAAAGAAATAGAATAAAAGGGCCAGAAAGAAGGGTGATGCACCCTTTTGTCGTTGCCCGTTGGGCGTTGGCTGGGTTCTCTCATCTTGTGCGTGCAACCAATATTCACAGAATTCAATTTAAAGTGTAACACTTAAGTGAAGGCTTTTTTGTAGTTGATTATGTCCTTGTACCGAACTCTTTTTTATCGTTATCTAACATTGAGAGAGAGAGAGAGATCCCTGAATTCCCTACTGAGTACTGGCACATTTATTGGTTGTCTGAATCTCTTCGCCAGAAGAGTAAGAGCTGCAACTTGGGTTAGGGGCTTTGGGCGGTGCTGTTCACTGAATCTAACCTTGTTCAGTCTAAGATAGACTAAAGTGGTGCAACTGGGGCTAGCTAGAGAAGTGCTGAACAGCCATCCATGTCCTAACCTGCTGGTCTGGACTCCTGACTCGAAGTTTTAACCCGAATGAGTCAATCTTAACCCAACCTCAGTTGGGTTTGCTGGTTCCTGTTGAGTTGTTTGGGTTAATTATGGAAGAACTCGACTTTTTTTCCCCTCATTTATACTATAGACTTGTAGACTTATTTTCTTAAGGACTTCTTTGTTTTCTATTCCAATTTTATTTGCATTGATACAAAATTTGTGAAAGAGCAAAACGATTTGAGTATAAATTCTGATTTATTTCTGTTTTAATGAAATATCCTTTGTACCACAAAAAATCTGATTTATTTTTTATCAAATTTTAAGCAGAATCTAAATATATGATGCAGAAACTGTACTATATGAAGTATTAAAGGTGAATCAGTGATAAAATGAATCACAATGGTTGACATATTTGATTCTGTTTAAGTCTTTAATGATAGTACAAATGAACTAATGAGAATTAAGTAGACCATATGATCATATTTGTAATAAGATTATTTGAAATATATAGAGATTCAGCACGTCACAAATATTCCTTCCTACAGGTAGTAGGGCCCCAGCTTGTCTTTATTTTATTTGTTTGCACTGTAAATGAAGTAAAATTAATCCTGAAGCAAAGTAAAGAACTCCCCTCATTCTTTTTATTTGTATTCTCCTGCTTTTATAATAGTGAAAATGAAATTGCACCGCAAACAAACAAGCCCAAGGATCAAATTAAAGGGAGGTATATAAAAATTTATCTACCATGATATATATCCTGCTAGGCTGGGATTCTTTTTGTTAATCATTTAAGTAGGAAGATAACCATATACATGATTGGTTGGAACTTTCTTTCAGTAAATATGGCAACCCTATTTGTTTCACACATTCTTCATTGGTTTAAAAGTATTTCTCTATTGATTGGGTCTGTGTTTGGAAGGAAATAAATCCAATAAGCTTTCTATGGCAGGCCCCATCCTTGCCATCATCTATAGACCTTTCTCAACTTGAAGTGAAGATAATAAACAACCAAATACAAAAGGGTGAAAAAGGGTCACCCATCTAATATTAACCAAGTGTCCCCATATGAGTGGGTGCCTTCCCCACTGTTAGATCAGGATCTACTCAACTTTCATACCCCTTCTTGTATTTTCATCTACCCTATTTGACATCAAGCTTCCAGTTTCCACTTCACTTGAATGTCCCCTTTTAAAATGTGAGATAAAAATCAATAATAAGTAAAATAAAAAATTAATTAATTAATGCTTTTAATAAGTTTGAAAAATAGGGGAAATTATTGAGGACTTTTCCTACTGAAATATATATATATATATATATATATATATATTTTCTAGTTGTAGGTGGTACTGATATGGAAATGGAACGTGCAATTAAAAGATGGAATGCCATACCAGAAACGAATTAACATGTAAGATGATGTAATTCTAAGTCCCCAAGCTTAAGGTCAAACCTACCCATTTCATCATCTGTCATTCAAGGGCCGCCCCAATCAAATGGTCAACATCAAATGCAATCAGATGCTCCACATAATCTCACATATCTAAATTGGTAGTCCAGTAATCTTTGGTAATTAGTTTTGATTCAACTCACTAACTACAATGTCAGTGGGTCTGGTTAAGTGGTTAATCCGCACTGACTCGACCCTATCAGGTTAGAGTTGGGTCAGCCTTAATTAGATTTCGGGGTCTGGTTCCGATTATGGTGAATCTGTGCAAACCCGACCTATTGAACAGTGTTTTTAATTTTTTATTGATCCAGGTGGTTGAATCATTTAAATTATTATTGGGTCAAAAATTTGGATCTGGTTTTCTTAAAATCTGTTTGACTTGTGTAGTTGAATCGTTGAATGATTCAACCTGATCATTGGGATAGGGGTTGCATACTATATGCGTATATAAACTTTTCAGAGGCCATAATTTTGTGTATTTGCACTCAATTATCCAATTGATGATTTTTATATCAATTTTAGATAATTTTTCATAAGGTTTTTAAAACTGAATTGGACAATGAACTGGTCAGGGGTTTGGTTCTTAGGTTGAATGGTCCAATTATTCGAATCGAATGAATGGCCCATTCTAACAAAAGAAAGAAAAAAAAAAAACGATCAAAACTGTTGGATGGTTAAGACAGTTTGAACGGTTCACCACCCAAGTCAGTGGTTTGCTAACCAAATCAATACTTTTTTTTTTGCCAAAATAACAATTATAGGGTAAAGCAGAACTGTCACCTAATTATTCCAAGTTTTCCAGTCTAACCGTTCGGTCCGGTCCAATTTTGAAAACCATGACTTTTCGCAACCTATGAGTTCTATGGAAACAAAGGCACCTGGTCATGATAAAAACGGTTCGATGACACCTATTTTTTTCTGATGTACTACTATTTAACCTATTGAACCCAAAACGGTTCGATCTCCATGTCTATTTTTAAAACATGGGGTGAATATAGATGTACTATACATAGGATGGATCGAACCAACCCCGACCCATCAATATCCCTATCTTAATTTCTTACCATAAAACCGAGTTGACCGGTTCTATGAATTGGTCCAGGTGTTCATTCAACCGAATTCAAGATCAAGTTGACCGATTCGATCAACAGTTGGTCCAGGTGGTCATCCTACCGAATTCATGTTATTTTCATTGATGGGACGATTTCAGTTTCACATATATATCATGATTAAAGATAAGAATTTTTAGCGATTAAATAATTAAGGTGTATTACGTTTGGCCGGTCACTTGAACCCCACGCCTACCTCAGTCCACACCGAACCAAAAAACGGTTTGAAGTTTGAATCTCACGGTCGCATGCATGCGAATGATGTGACTCCTTTCTTTTCAGAATCCAGCTGGACCTCTCATCAGTGACGATAAATTTATCAAAACATCCTATGACTTTTCTTTTTTTCTTTATATTTTCTTATTAAAATGTTATCGAACCGAGACCGGATCTGCTCCTTACAGCTGGCGTCTCATACACATCCTATCATGCATTGAAACATTTCTCGTACTTATTAATTATTATTCACGAGAGATATTCTTAATACATGGTGGATGTACCTGTGAGGCGCCCATTGGTCAGGAGCAGATCCAGGGAAACGCCATCATCCTGCCTTCCTATTTGCGCCAGGGCCCCACCTAAAAACAACTATTATGATTGTCGTAGATCTCGTATTTGGTCTTAAATGACGTGAATGCCCTTGGATGTTTAATTGATGCAGTTGACATTCTGCCTTCTGGGGACATTCTATTGTCCAGGTATTTTTTTTAATTTCCTTTCCTTGAATAAAAAAGTTGGAGGGTATATTTGTAATAAAAATAATATAATAATCCTGAGAGGGTTCTCTGTTCTCCGACATTTTTTATTTTTCCAACTCTGAGATTTTGTCTTTTCTTCCCGCTCGCTCTGCTTCTCTCTCTCTCTCTCTCTCTCCCCGTCTTCTCTGTTATTTTATTTTGGCTCCTTCTGAGCTCTGATTCTCTTAATTCTTAAAAATGGTGAGGAGGGTTCAGTAACGAGAGAGGCTTTTAGCTTTCACGCCGAGGAAAGATCAGAGGGTTTATTTATTTTGAAGTCATTATCGTCGCAATGGAGGTTGGAGTCAGGTAAAAAAGGAGGAGTTTCTAATTTCTGGTTTCTATTCGAGGAATTTCCAATGCCAGCTCTTCATCGCTGAAGATTCCAACACTATCGAAGTTTCTATTTCGATTTACAGAATAGCAAAATCGGAGAAGTTTCTTCGAAGGGTAAGTGAGCGGCTAGTTTTATCGTTTTCGACAAAATGATCAAATAAGGTCCCCCCTCCTTCTCCGGCTTTGTTGCTGTTTTCTCTCTTCTGTTTTTTTTTTTTATTCCAAAACCCCACAATCTATAAAGAGATTCAGCACCGTTTCTTCACACGATTTCATTATTTATACTAAAATATTCCTTGGGGGTTGTGGGTTTTGGTCGTTTTTCTGGTTCGCCTCATCTCAGAGATGATTTCATTCTTACAGCTCTGCTGTTTATGCTTTAAACCAGAGTAGTCTCTCTACTGGAGGAGAAAATAAATATTTTTCTTTGTCACTTAGTTATTCTGGGGAAGTCTTTTCTATGGTTTTAGCTACTTGGCTTTGGATTTGCAGGTGTTTGAGAAGGTTATAACTTCCAGAGAGATCTGTTTCCCTTCCTGTTTGTTTTCCCCTGTTATACGATAACTCAGGGAAATGATAAGACTGGGCTTTTACTTTCTTTTCATTCTGGGTTTCTTTCATTGAAGAAGAAACCTTCAAATCTTTTGGCTTTGATTTGAGCTGCAGAGTTGCAGACAGAGGTCGCCATTGGAGAATCTTTGTTGTGCTCTTGTCGTCTACTCTTGACTCTTCTTTCCTTTTTGTGTCCACTGTTTTCCTCTGTTTCACGCTAAATGAAGAGAAGTGGTAAAGAGGACACAATCTCTCAGTCTCGGCTATTTTGAGGGCAGGTACAGTAATTTCTCGTGACACACAGAGTCAATTATATCTATTGCTCTACGGTTCCACAGTGGTACGTTAATTATAGACGTACGATGTACGTGGCTGACCAATTCATCAGAGGGTTCTTGACAAACAGTGTGAAAGCTTCAGATCATTTGACTTGACCGGCGGCATAGATGCGCCCCACTTGTTTAACGGCTCGGATTTACTGGTTATGTGGGCCATCTTTACCCTCTGTGTCCAGACTCTTTTTGGGTTTTGTTAATTAACTATTAATTAATTAGTTAATTAATAATTCCCCGGTATTCCACTACGGCGCTACCACTGTATTCTGTTCATATACTTGGTTCTCTCACACTCGAAACAAATCACCGTCATGGTTCTGCTCATCAGAACCGTCCATCACTCTGTGCAGGCTTCTGTTAGAGGTCATCATCTAGTAGGTGACCCACCTGATTGAGAGGTTGAGATTAATTTTATTTGTGTGGAGCCCACCTGCTATGTTAATTTATGAGATTATTTATTCTCACCCTCTCTGGTCTGTCTCTGTAACAAGTTAAAGCTCCGTAACTTCTTTTTCTTGCTTTTATTTCTTTCCCGCGTTTAAAAACGGCTTTTTTAGACTTGAAAAAAATAGAGAAAATCGGAAGCTCTGTATAAAAGCCAAAGAAAGATTGAACCCACCACTAGCAGACTAGCACCACCACTGTCCTCGATCGGAGAGTTAAAGCGATTTGTGCTTTCCTCTTTCAATCCGTCCATCTTTTATTCAAATAGGCTCTAATCTACTTTCTTAAATGCTTGCGTCTGTTGTTCCAAACGCAGATCACTTGTCAAAACCCCAAACCCATTTTCGTTATTAGCTCTCATCTCTATCATCATTATCAGCTTCTGATTCTTCTCTCTGTTTCAGATGGACTCTGTCAAGCCGGCGGCGACTCCAAATGTAGCCGGACTAATGCGCAGTTTTGCTAAAGCACTTCGTTTTCGGGCTGGTGGGATTGCGCCTGATGATGAAGTTAGGAAATTGAAGTTGCGGGAGAAGGCCAAGAGTGGTCCGTTACCGTCAACTGGCCATCGTTCTCAGTCTTTTGCAAAGGAAGATGGAGATGAAAAGCTTCGGAAGAGAGCAGCAATGGAAGCTTTCCTTGCGAAGCTCTTTGCGAGCGTTTCGTCTTTGAAAGCAGCATATGCCCAGCTGCAGATTGCTCAGTCTCCTTACGATTCCAACGGGATACAGACCGCGGATGAGATGGTGGTGTCTGAGCTGATGCATCTTTCTGAATTGAAGCAGTGTTACTTGAAGAAGCAGATTGATCCTTCTTCTCAGGTTACGCTGTTGTTGGCGGAAATTCAAGAGCAGCAGAGTCTGTTGAAGACGTATGAAATCATGGGGAAGAAGTTTGAGTCGCAACTTAGGCTCAAGGARTCTGAGATTACTTCTCTCAGAGAGATATTAGAAGAGTCTAATAGACAAAATAGATTACTTGAGCAGAAATTAAATCCAAGTGGGCCTCTATCTGGTCTAGACGATCTCCACTTGTCGGGTTTGAATCCAAGCCATTTTATTATAGTTCTGAGACATGCCATTAAGTCACTTAAGAGCTTTGTCAAATTAATGGTTGAACAGATGGTTTCAGCAGGGTGGCATATTGATACCGCTGCCTCTTCAATAGAACCTGATATTATCTATGGCAAACCAGAGCACAAGAGCTTTGCTTTTGAATGCTTTGTTTGCAGAGAGATGTTTGATGGTTTCAATAACCCCGAATTTTCTCTTCCAAATGAGCCTTTGCCCGAAAGGAAGCAACGGCGACGCCATTTCTTTGACAGGTTCACAGAATTGAAGTCCATGAGAGTAAAGGAATTTCTCTCCCATAAGCCCAATTCAACATTTGGAAAGTTCTGCAGGGCCAAGTACTTAAGCCTCGTGCATCCAAAGATGGAAGCATCCTTTTCTGGTGACCTGAACCAGAGAAGCATAGTGAACTCTGGAGGATACCCAGAAACAGCTTTTTTTGCATCATTTGCCGAGATGGCAAAGCGGGTCTGGCTCCTGCAATGCTTGTCCTTCTCATTTGAGCCTGAAGTTTCCATCTTTCAGGTGAGCAAAGGATCCAGGTTCTCAGAGGTTTACATGGAGAGTGTAAGCAATGATGCATTCTTGTCATCCAACAATCTCCTCGTGGCTTTCACAGTCATCCCCGGTTTCAAGATTGGCAAAACTGTTATACAGTGTCAGGTGTACCTATCTCCATCTCGAACTCAGGTGAACCACAGGCGGGCAAGCCGGTGATGTCGCCGACCGACACCTGACGAAGGTGTATCAGCATTCTAGGAGCATGGGTCCGGTCCACCCGTGAAGATGGTCCAGAGGGGGTTATAATCTGGAACCTGGAGTTTAGAGAGGGAAGGCGAGTTCGGTTGCTCAGGTTGTGGAGAGTGGGGGCCCGACCTGGCTTTCTGTTGAACAAAAGAAATCTGTTGCCATTTGTGGGAGTGGACATTAGTTTCTTAATGCCCCTTTTGGAGATTTCTGTTAACAGCCAAAAACCAGTGACAGAAAGAGTTTGCAACAAGAAGAAGACAGCGCTATAGTTAAGTAAGAGCTTTTGTATGTTTGCCTGTTCAAAACATGTTTTTTTTTTCTTTTAATTTTTTTTATGTATATATGCATGTAATTGGTGAAGAAATCATGGAAAAATTTAATATAATATCTTCTGATTTGGACCAGTTAATGATTAATAATATACTAGCCAAATAGTTGAGTGTTTCATTGTGAGTTCCAAGCTGTGCATTTGCTCAGATGCCTTTAGGAATATTTTTGTGGGGTTGCCAAGCCCCACTTCGCTGTGATTTCTTGCCTTTATCTCCATGCCGGAGGCCACCAATGTTATAATAGATTAATTGCAGAGAGTGCCGATCCTCCCTCCAGTTGTTGCAGCTCCTCTGCCCCTGCTCTTCATGCAGGTGGTCGTCAGTTTAAGGCCAGAAAGGCAGATCTCTGCCACATGCGAGAGAGGTCATGGGTTTAAGGCTACGAGAGCATACATAACTCTACACCTTTGATTCCTCTGTATGGTAATTTCTTTTTTATTGTATTCATTATTAGAACGGTTTCAGTCTCCAGATCTTAAGAGTTTAGAACTTTTGATTACAGAACTGTGGTCTTTTTTTTTTCTTTTTCAGCAAAGATAATATCACTAAGAAACTGACTAGATCCCTTGCAGACTCCATTAACACGGAAATCCCTCAAGAGTCGAGCTAACATTCCTCCATTAGTGTTGGTTTGCAAATTCTGGGCTAAGCATGCAGACTTGGGAATGTGGTTTTGTTGAGCTGTTACTGGACAAACCAAAGTAGAACCATCCAAAAGATGCATTAACATTTCCTAGTGGTTTGATGGTTTCCATGGATCGAAAATCAAACTGTGGCATGGTGATCAGACATGTTTGATTTTTTGTGCATGTCTGACAGATATGGAATAAATGCAGTGGTTCTGTCATTAAATTCTGAAGGTAAATAGACAACTTGCAGGAAGAAGAAGAAAAAAAGCCAAGAAGAAATGAGGCTGTGGTCCATGATGAACCATGTACCACTGTGGGCGATGGTTGGTTTAGACTATATCAGTACATCTAGCGTTGGATCCTAAATCCTTGGGCGGGGCCCATTATAATTGGGGGACCAAATGAATTCTATCTTTGGGGTTTCACTGTTTGATATTAACAGCTCTGACTGATGTAGGAAGCTGGCAATTCTTCTTCCTTTCAGCCATTTTTAACTTCAATTTGTTTCATATATCCTTTCTACCCCTAAACAGAGTAATGATGTTACAAGAAGAGATGGAGGACAGTCCCAATTTTGGATATTGTACAACCCAACAACTGAGCAAAGCCGTATTACATATCTCCGCTCATTCGTTGATTAATCCATTACTGTTTATATTATTTCTTCTGTCTATGGTCCAACTGCCATTGGTCAACACATTGAAACAGGGGGTCCAGCGACCAATACAACTAGGTCGACTTAGGGTTAGGGGCCTCTGGTTGGTAGAGTCATTGACCATTCTTTAATTCTGAAGTAGAATTTTATGTAATGGGTTCAGTAAAATAATTGAGTAAATGATTCAAACTGAAAGTTCCACATGGAGTCTTTGGAGGCACTGACCCTTGTGGAGGGATTGGGGCTTGACCAATGTTATGTCAGTTGAGACTTGGGGCTCTTTTAGAATTATAAAGCCATATGAACAGGGATGCTATAGTCCCTTGACCTTAGAACCTATTGTTTGAGATGCCTCTGTAAGCAGTTCACACTTTACAGAAGTAAAAATTTAACAAAGGCTATGCCGATAGATTAGCTGAGAAGGGCCTTAGCTCTGTTTGTACTTCGAGATCTAATGTTTTATTCTGTATTTCTGATCTAAATAAAGGATACCATTTATTTTTGCAGAGTTAAAGTATTAATATATTATATATATATATATATATACGTGTATAAAAAAATTTATATCAAAATTCATATGGAATAAGTTTTAAGATTTTTTTTTTCAATTTCTTATTTATCTTATTAATTTATTTTATTTTTTTTTTCAATTTTTCTAAAAAGAATTCTGCTACCCACTGTCCGGTCTGGTATGACACAGGCCCACTTTGATTCGTGCCATGAACTATGCTAGGTTTCCGTTTTAAGGGGTCCAGGGCCAGACCCGCATGCTGACATGGCATAGCCCGCTTCAGTGCACACAAAAGTGGCCCATGCTGGCCCAGAACAACCTACATTACTTTTGGGGTTCTATTAGCATCAAAACTACATAGAAAACCAAAACAAAAAGCCGATTAAACTAAACACTTAAATTACATGGTGCGGCAGCATATAATATAGAGGACCCTCTATTCTGTGCATGGGAGAGAGTTCGGCTTCTTCGGTCATGGCAACGCTCATTCGAATAGTCTTTACAGTCTTACATTAGGAATATTTCGGTATTTAATATTTATGTATTTTATTTTATGGGGAGATATTTATACTGCAAGATTGTAAGAGGCTGTTGGCACAGTGTGAATAGCATTTCCCAAATCCCAAATATTGGAACAGATCCTACTTTTACTCCTATCAAACAGCTAGCTCATAAGGATTCATCTTCTTGTCGTGCAATAAGCCATTAACACCAAAGGCCATTAAATGCCCGTTTGGAGGGCTTTCAGACAGTGGCTTCTGGTTTTGTAAGTTGGGCTCCACATGGAGATCCTACAAGTTATGTTTGGTGAAAAACCGGAAAGCACAAATATCTTCTCATTCAGCTAAAAAAGTTGCTTTCTGATAAAGCTTGTTTTAATAACTTCTCCAAACTGATTCAGTGAAAGCAGCTCAATCAAAGCTTCAGCCCTCCTAAACTTGCCCTAATGCAATGGGGTGAGGGTTATCACTCTAGTAATACATTAGCTGATTCAACCTCAAATGTATTCGTGCATTGGCTTAGGAAGATATAAGCCATTTCTTTAATGGGTTCTGGTCCTAATTAACATTGCTTAGGTAATCTTCAAAATATGTATTCGAAGGGACATGTTACAAATAAAAACAGTATGTGGAATAGTCAGTGCAGGGGCATTTTTGGTATTTAATTTATTTATATATTCCCACTTGTGCTAAAAATTATATTAGGATTTAGGGAGATCGGCTTCCACCAGGGCAAACCTGTGCCCACACCGTTTTAACAGCCTTTTGTAACCTTGCATTGGAAATATCTCCTCATGAAATAAAGCATATACGTACGGAAATATTCTCAATGCAAGGCAGTAAAGACTGTTTGAACAGGCTTTGCCCTGGCTGAAACTAAACTCGAATTTAGGAATGTGTTGATACACCCAATTCCATGATATATATAAAAAATAGTCTGTTTATTAAGGGCTGGGCTCAGATATATTACCTGCTATTTGTTTTCACATCCCTATCCACCGGACATAACAGCTGTGCATTTGAAATATCTCCCATTTTATTTATAGGGAAATGTTCTCAATATGCGATGGCGGTGTTCTGTGGGTATAGATGTGGGAACAAATAACGAATAGCAGATATAAAGGCGTTTATTAGGGTTATATTCTATTGAATTGTGAATGAATATCACAAGAATCTACCGTGGGCAGATGCTTAAAAAATGATCTCTGCTTGGACTCTTTTATTTCGTGTTTTCATGGGTTTGGCACAACAATGAGATTTCTACGCTAGTTGGTAAGACAAGAATCCAAAAAGAAAAAAAAACAAAATAAAGCAGATGAATGAATAAGATTTGTTGGTAAGATGTCAATAACTATTACTTCTAAAATCTATAGTTTTTTTAATATAAAGCAAGTTTTTTTTTTATTATTATTATAAAGCAAAAAGGAGTAGCTTTTTACCAAACACTTTTATGGGAGTTTGCCATAGTGCTGTTTTCCTAGGTGGTCGATCCATTTGATGAGAGCAGTACTAGGATTGAATGCTTGTGTTGCACCACTCCTTAGAAGAAATATTTCTTATCTGAACGAAATCATTTTTTTAATGGAATGACAAGTTCGTAATCTTAAAATGAAAATGCTGCCTTTGGAAATTGCCAAAAACATTAATAAAAAGGAGAAAAAATATATAATATAGGAAAAACAGATAAAAAATTGGGTATTAAAAGGGTTTTACCCATATTATTATTATTATTATTATTATTATTATTATTACATGGTGTTGCCCATTTATTATCATATAGGGAGTTTGTGTTTATAGCAGATTCCATGTTTATAAAACACTTGTGATTTGTTATGTTTTACATGAAAACTAGTGTGTAATTTTCAAAATTTTGATATAATATATTTGATACATTTATTTATTTAAAGGGAGTTTTGAGAAATGCAATTTTTTTAATAAATAAAATATTAAAAAAAAAAGTAAAAGCAGGAGTTTTCAAAGTATCGATGGATACCCCTTCTGCCATATTTTGAACCTTGTTGTTAGTGCGTTCACTTGTAATTGGTTAGGTAGCCTCCTTTTTTAACTATATTTGCAGCATATCCTAACACGTTTTTTAAATGCATATTTCTTTACCATCACCTAGAGGTCAGATTCAGACACGTGGATTCCTACCATGAGGTAGGCTGGTAGCTTGGCCGAAGAAAAGCCTGGATGAGCTGGAAGAGAGAGAGAGAGAGRGGGGGGGGGGGGGGCTTTGTATTGGGACTAGCGGGAACCCGTGTGATACACGGGATTTATCAGGAAAGTGAAATAATAAACTAATGAAAGAATGCATTATTGTTTAAAATAATTAAATCTTTTTTTAATAATTTGTTACAAAAATGTTTTATTAATTTAGTAATTTGAATTAATTATATTAATATTTTTAACAAAAAATCAATTATTGCTAATTACTTAATAAAATAATCATTTTCCCCTATTATTTGTTAGTGTTCTATTTTATTTATTTTAATTTATTAGTAATTAATTTTTAATTGTTTTTAAATATCACTTAAATATTTAAAATATTTAAATATCAATAAATATATAAAAATAGGCTTTAGTCATAATTAAATTAATCTATAGTTAACAGTTTTAGTCATGATTAAATTAATATAAAATCAAACTTAAGATTTAAGACTTTGGATTAAACTTGTATTGATTCTCATATTGACCTAATCCACCCAAGTTGCATATCATAATATTCATAATTAATCAAACCAAGTGCAACCATGCATGC